TCTCTCTCTCTCTCTCTCTCTCTCTCTCTCTCTCTCTCTCTCTCTCTATAAAGGCTTCTATTTCTGAGTCAAAGCTTGCATTTCTCTACGGGTATAACAATTTCTTCCTCATCTACTTTCACCAAAGTTTTGAACCTCCAGAGATATGACCTGGACTCTACTGGAAATCAATAATTAAAAGAATAACTAAAATCACCAGCGGGTGTGTTAAATATCCACACCGAGTTATCTTTCACTCTGTCTTGATTAGACAAAAATAATTGTATGATACAAGAAAGAAGCTCTGCTCCTCAATTTATTTGCACAAGTGAATGACTGGTGAGTGATCTGAATAAAAGGGTGAGTCGTGCTGTATGTGTTTTATTCTACCACGCTGTGTTCTGTATGTGTTGGCTGTGAAAGCAGATGCGAGTGTGTACATGTGTTTATCATGGACAGACTGTTGGATGCACACTGGGCTCATTAATGCAGCACTGCTACAATAAGCAGAGCACGCGATGGCGGCTGCCCATGCTAATCATCTCTGCTAGCCCGCCACTTTACAGCACCTTATATGTGTTTGCGTCTCCTCCCCCCTCACTAGACGAGGAAGCTGAATAGCTGCCTGCACGCAGTTCCTGATGGGAAATGGAGGTCGTCATAGCGGGGTTTTGAGGACTAGTCTCCCATCTTCGCGTTTCCATTTCATTTAGATCACACCAAGTTTATTTAATGATGCTTCCAGGAAGGGTTTTAATGAAAGCAAAAATATTTTACACTGAATTATTTCAATAACTTTGTAGAATAAATATGAAATATTTCAATGAATGTAATTATTTCAAACAGAACACGTCTTGAAACAATAAAATAAATGGTATAATTGTATCAGATTTGGTTGGTTACAGGGGAATCTGTTGTTTTAAACCTCATAGCCCCCTGATATAACTTGTAATAATAATTTATGAGAGGATCTACTGTAAGTACCAGCACACTGAATTTACCTCCTCAGTTATCAAATTCAGATTAACTTCTTTAAACCACTGCATGTTGTGAGCTCAGTTGGTCTTTTGAGTAAACTGTCAAAGTTCTGCCGAGTAATCATTGCAAATACAGTTAGGATCAGTTGCTCATTGTTCAAAAGCGGTAGTTTAAATAACGGTGAAATTCAAATTTTAGGTGCAAGTCATTCTTGGAAAGCCCTTTTAATCTGAAATGTAGGGTAAAGAGACAGGAAAGGATAATTTTAAGTAACATAAGTCAAGATAAAACCAGGAAAATGTGTCTAAAAATCCAGATCTGCTGCAGATTACAGAAGGCCTGTACAGCATATGGTCCTTCACTGAATAGTTGTGTGAGAGATCTGAGACGAAGCGACTGAGAGAGAAAACACAATGAGGAAAAATTGAGAACTGGAGAATAATGGAAAGCATGCGAGAGAAAACAAGAGAACGAGGAACAAAGAGAGATGTGAGTCTCAAAAAAAACGTGTCAATGCCAGGCTTCCTTTAGGCATGAGTGAGAGACTATGAGGCCTGGTGGTGTGTGAATGGTTTGGCAACACACACGCAAACAGGCACACACACACACACACACGCACACACACTCCCCACTGAGCCAGAACCTGTGCCAGTGAGACAGGTCTATGGGTCTATTGAGGGGACTGGGAGGGAGCTGTCCCTTTCTGTAGAGCTAATGAAGCCTGCACCCACAGGCATAAAGGAGTGGAGAGAGTTAGCACTGCGCTCCTTCGCCCATTCACCTACTTCCTTCCTTTACACAGCTCCTGATGAGGTAATGCTTTCCCTCTTAAAGGGACACCATAAGTAACGCACCTTTACGCATGCAGCCCTTCACGATTACAGGAGACGTCATAAATAAATTGTTTTTATGCGCGATCCCGCTCAGGAAACTGGATAGGATCTTATGACAGGAATCAAACCAAGCTGTCTCCAGCATGGTGGAACAAAAGCTGGTTAAATACTGTATGTTTTAATTAAGCGTTAGTTGGTTTCTGGTTGCATTATGCTCTGTGGCTCCTTAGCCCCAAACCTATTCGTTCATCCTGAAGATGTAAATGATTCACAACTATTTTGTTTCATTAAAAAAGGTATTCCCTAAAACAGCTGGGCAATGTCATTTTTAGCAAATCTCACTCAAACAAGAGTAAACACAGCATTTGTGGGGGACTATTTTCTGCTGCGGAATAATACACATTTGATGTTCTAACATCCTGTTAACAGCAGCACTCAAAATAAATCACAGTGCTCATGTTCATTGCAATGAAGGAACACATCATCAAGTGTAATGATCTGGCTCATACTGCTGTTTTTAAGAGTTTTATTTGACAACAGTGGAGGAAACAGTGTTTTTTTTAAGTTTGATTACACAGAAATCACAGCGGCTAAAGCTGTAAAGCCGGCATCCAATAGTATGCTCTAAATCAGTGCACTCTTGACGATTTCCTCCATCATGGAAATGTGTAGTCGCGGTACAAAGCTGCCATCAATCTAGAGAGAAACAAAAGACAGGCACCATGCTGGAGAGCCTGAGACCAATGTGTCACTCAGAGAAGAAATGTTACAGAAAGCAGAGATGTGGGGAGAAAAGGCTTCCACACAACACAATCACACTTTCAGCAGGGGAGGTCTGAATTTACGCTGCCTGTCTATCTGCCTGTCTGCTACTCTGCCGCGACTACAAGATGATGAAGGAGCTCTTGTCCAAGTCGACACCCAGTCTAGGCCTCTCTGAACAAACCAGACTGAGCTAACAATAGACAGCCGTGCTTATCAAACAGCCTGGCAACTTCATTAGCATCCTACATGACCCAGACGACGACAGAAGTGGCCCTACACACACACACACACACACACACACACACACACACACACACACACA